GAGAGAGAGAGAGAGAGAGAGAGAGAGAGAGAGAGAGAGAGAGAGAGGGAGAGGAAGGGAGACAGAGATGGAGGCAGACTGTTCTTTTTTAAAGAGGGACCTGTAGTTTTTTTAAGGTTTTTTCCGATGATAGTTACTGATTTTTAGTTTGTTTTCCTTGTCAAGTTCAACATCCAAGACCTTTTTATAATCTGCTGTTATTTGGAGAACAGAAGAATTTTCAGATTTCTGCCTAAAACTAATTCCAAACAATGATTAAGCTTACTATTCAAACTCTGTGCCCAGAAAAGCCATTTATGGTTGTCTTAATTATGTCAGACTTCATCTATCTGAACCACAGCCAAACCACTTTACGTTTCCTTCAAGAGACTGGTCACTTTAGAGTCCCCTTTTAATTTGAGCTTATGCTTTAGACATGAACAAGGTGTTCCTCGCTAGCATTAACACCCCTTTCAAGTCCTTATTTTTTCCTTAAAAATGAAACCTTAATTGTTTGTGACATTTTAAGAACTTGTAAAAATCTCTCAATTGCACTAGCATAATGTAAGGCACATTCTTAGTCTCAAGCTCTCTTTACTTCTTTCCGACTACCCTTCCCCCCTTCCCCTCCTTCTTCTTGTTCTCTTTTCCTTTTTCACTTCCTCTCTTAGTTTTATTTGGTTTAGTTTTCCTTTGAACTAAGTAGAATAAAAGCAAAACAAACCATTTAGCATAATAGATATGCTTTGGCCTATTAAGATCAGTTAGAGGTTTTGTCTTTCTCTGCTCCTCAGTTGCAGCCTGGCTCTAGGTACCTTCTTGGCCTCCATATAATTCATCTGCAAATCTTGGAGATTTTTAAAAATCATAATAAAAACATAACAAAAATCATAATAGCTTCTACCCCCTGAGGTACTGCTGAGATGAAATAGTGAATATAAACCCATTTGTAAATTTGGAGCACTCCGTAAGTTCCATGAAATAGTAAGGGCATTTATCTTGTGTCTGCACCACTTAAAAGTAAAATGCACATTAGGAAAATTGTATTAAGAATGTTGTATCTATAAAAGTTAGAAGTTAGACGATAAACTTCTAACAGCTGTCATCCACCAACATAAAGCAGGAAATATGTGTGCAGGAGTATGTACCCATTTGCAGAAACTTTGCAGTAGCTTTCTTTCTGCTACAGGGATACTTTAAACCCCTCAGAGTCTGTAATTTCCTCAGGTGATGGAACTCAAGACCATTTACTGGGTGGCTTTTGAAGTACAATTGATGTAAGCATTGCCCATTTGCAATATGAATTTTCAGCCTGCTTTGGTGCTTCAGATGTTCATGCTTCTTCATTGCTTTCTCTTTTCTGCCTCCCCCCTGTTACAGGGTGAAATGGCTCCGTTTTCTTGGGCAGCCCTACATAGTAAATTCAGGTCTCTGCTTACAGCAGAACCTAGGGAAGATTTGTGACAGATGGGCTAAGTCACAAACTTGCAGCCTAAGGCAGAATCTGAAGAACTTTCCAGAGTGTGCCCATATTTACCTGATCAGAGAGAAAAGAAAATCTGCAGAGGAAGCTGAGCCTGGCTGCTTGTCATAGCTGACACAGAGCCATCTGCCACAAACCTGTGGCGGCTTCAGATCTCCAATCCCTGCCACCACCCCAACTCAAATTAAATACAGATTCCTAGAGACGTTATGATGGTTACACATGTCCTCGGCATCACATGTAGGAGACTGTTCAAAAAAAATATGTGGCCTGTTGTATAACTGCACTCATGTATCCCATATGTGGTGCCACATTGAATTTCCGGTTGAATCCGTTTTTATCCTTTGTACTGGATGACATGGTGCCTGAATTCTTTCTTTTCGCCGACACGATGGCAGCCAAACTGCAGCTTCAAACGCTCACACTTGGCTGGGTTTCTACCTAGGTTGCCAGGTTATCATCGGAGCCTTCTTGTGTCCTCAAAGGGCCACAGGGCCCGAAAGGAGGATCAGGATGCTACCAGACTAATTGGACAGCCATCTCAGAACTGTTCGTGGGCAAAGGACTGCTTTAGCACTTTTCTTTTAGCAAATTAATGACTCTCTGACACAGGAGTTTTAAGTGAAGGTATTAATAAGAGATCTGGCAGGTATTCCCATGATTCACAGAGTTACATTTGCATTTAATTAATCCTAAAGAAAGTTGCAAGATAAACAGCTGTAATTCAGACGAACATGGCAAATACAGTCAGTGGAAGCATCTCTCCTATCAAATGAACACTGAGATACTTTTTTTTTTTCATTTTTTCCCAGGAATAAAAATAGAGAGATCAAAATACGTCTAATAAAGCCCATAATTTTGATATAAATATTCTTGAAATATATTTGCATCCTGCTGCAAATAAAACCTTTTCAAGATAAATCACTTATGATTCCAATAATCAGACTGCTGTATTTGTTGATATAAGATGTTTTGAACAGCTAGATTATAAAATAAAATTTTAATAAAGTGCCCACTGCAATTTTTAATTAGCATATTCATTTACGTATAAGCGTGTACATCTCTCTGTATGTTTCTCACTGAATGTTTTCCATGTGTCAGAGACAGCGAATACAATTGTTTCTTTTCTGGATGAACAAGGATCTGTTTTGCAAATGTTTGTAAGATATTATGACATTTCCAAGATTTTCTTTGCATTCTGGAAAGCAGGAGGTAAACATTTGTAGTCATTAAGGTAAAGTCTGTTGATAAACCATCTTCTGTTTACTGACAGGTAAATTGTAACTTTCCTAGCTCTTCAAATGAAATAAGTTCTCTACACCACAGAGTGAGAATCAGCCAGGGAGAGGTGGGTATACAAACGGCAACCCTGGCTCTCAGGCTTCTCGAAGGACTGAGTAGTCTAGCAAGCTTTGGAGATGGAATGGGCAGTGGCCCTGAAGTCCAGTGGGATCCATCTGAGAGGTAGCAAAATCCAAAACAGGAGACAGAGATTAGGGAGCCAGACATAACCCTTGGGGTAAAGGAGGTCTTGCAGATAAAAGCAAGCAGACGTTCAGAATCTGTGAAGCCTGGAAATTTCAAAACAGAAAGCCAAAGAAGAAGAAACAAACAATTCTTTTGCTGTTCTCCCCACCCAATCCTTAGTGTAGGATGGGCCTTCTAGTCTTTGCTTACTGGAAAGTCATTGAACAAATTCCTACCTTCTCACTCACATATCAAAGGGCTTCGTAACTATTTCAGAAGTCACTTCCTGTCCAAGTCTGTGGACCTTGGGTTGTGGCAAGGGAGCACCATTTGAGAACAGAACTAAAGATATGAGTATGAATAAAATGTTTGTAAACACTTCTTTTGGGCAAGGTTATACTTTAATACCCTCTAGTAAAATAAACCAATCAGAAATGTGCTGTATCATAGTCTTCTATTATCTTCTCAAGATAATGTAAATCTCACAGCCAAGTCAAGATATTTAAGTTTTACTGTGTTTTTGTATCCTGAAAATAGTGGGCTCACATTTTGTCATAGATAAGATCTTATAAATATAACAGCTATCCATATGTTTTCTTGCTAACTGGTGAGCAAAAAACCCATTTAATTTCTTTCAGAGACTACATCTAAAACATTAAAATTTTTTTCTAATTTTGGCAAATGTAATGTTGAAAGTTCCCTTTGTATGAGTTTTCTCCTACACCCATATTCAAATAAATTGTTTATTTCAGCTGTGCCCATCATTGTTTCCAGGATAAAAACTTGCGTGAACGTTGTTCATGTTGACGGGTTTGGTATTAGTGCATGTAAGCAACAAAATGCTTTGTAATCATACAATTCTAACACTTAAAAAGGTATAACTGTGTCTCTCGTGTGTATGTGTGCATAGACCTCTCAATATCCAGGACATGCTGGAATTAAATGTTAGTAAATTAACCAATATTTTGTTGAGTTCAGTGGATAACTAGGAATACAACTTCTTATTAATTTCTGTTTCCCTTAGGTCATGAGAAATGAAACAAAGTTCTGTTGCTTCATTCTTTTAAAAAAATAATCAAATAGAACAAAGAAGAGGCAGTTTTGAAAGTATGATATGAAGACAGAAAGGTATCACAGTGAGGTGTTTTGAAAACAGTACTTTCACCTTACGGCACCTTTGAGGTATACCATATTTTTACATGACTTGAGTGTGTCCCCCAAAGGTTCCTATATTGGGAACTTGGTCCTCAGTATGTTGATATAAAAGGTGTTAGGAACTCTGAGAGGTAGGGTTGTAGTAATTAAGTCATAACCTTGGGAGAGATTAATGCTGATCTCTCAAAGTGAGTTAGTTCTCACTAGAGCAGACTGTCACAAAGGGAGACCCCTCTTGAATGCTGCTAATTCCACTTCCTGTTTCTCTGCCTTATTGTGACCCAGCCAAGAAGGACCTTACCAAAGCCAAACAGATGAAGCTACCTGCTTGTAGACTTTCAGCCTCTGAAACTGTGCGCTAAATAATTTTTTTCTTTGTACTGTAAATGAAAATAATCATTAAAAAATTTAATGTTGGATACAGTGGTACCTCGGTTCTCGAACTCAATTCTTCCCACAATCCTGGCAGCTAATGGAATTGGACAAGAACCAAATCAAATTCAGTGGTTAGTTTCACTGTTGACCTAATGGGAAAGTTTGATTCGGTTCTTATCCAATTCAGTTTGTGACCAGAATCGTGGAAAGAATTAAGTTCATGACCAAGGTCCCACAATAGCTACAAAAGTCTGGCCTTTATCAAGACCTTGATGCAATTTCTTTAGGGATGTCTGCCCTAAACCTATTCTTTTTGCCATGTTCTTAACCTTTTGCTATTTTGATTAGGAAAACATCAAAACCCTTTTCAAGATGTTCCTGTTTTAACACACACCTTTTAAATACAGTTAAATCTAAGTGTCCTACTCTTATTCTCAGCTCTTCAATATTGCCACATAAAATATGGTGGAGGAATCCATAAATCAGTGGGAATCCTTAGCCATCAAGGGCTGCATAGATTAATTTCAACACCTTGAAATGCATCTGGAAGCAAAAATTTCATTTTATGTTGAAGGTGTTAATTATGTTTGGTATTTTTAAAAGTAAAATCTGTTTTTGAGAAAGCATCTGCTACCCAGAAATATTATGAGCTACAAAAGAAATTTCATGTAAGTCTCAGAGAGTTTCCATGGGTGATAGAATCAGTCTTCAAATGGTGGTCCATGCTGCCCTGTTTGTTTGCTTGTTTGTTTTTATTTGTGTTTGTTTTGGGTTTTGTCTTAATTTTAAGACAGGACGTAACTACACAGTCCGAGCTGGCCTGGAATTCATTATCCAACCAAGGAAGGCCTCAAACTTCCCATCCTCCTGCCTCATCCTTCTGAGTGCTGGAATTACAGGCATATTACACCACATCAGCCTTGCTATCCTTTAATGTGAACATAATTGTGTGATTCTTATTCCATAGACTATTAACAACCATTGCCTAACTGCTTTCTATTTCACTGGAAAAGTGGGGAATATTTATTATCAGATCTTATATTTAACAATGAAGAGAATGTATTATAAGCCTTTGTCTTAAACCTGTTTCATTTTAAAGTCTAAACTGAGATATGGGATGACCAGTGTTTCTAAAATACATCCTCACTTCAAAAGTTTTTCATTAAAATGTAAGTTGAAAAGTGATATTTATATTTTATTTATGCATTTATTTATTGGTACCGGGGATTGAACTCGGGCCCTTGTGCTTTCAAGGCACGTGGCGAAAGCACTGAGCTCAATCCCTGGCCCTGGAAAAGTTGTAAAACATGCAAGCAATTCTACTTGTTCCTCAAAGATATGTACATAGGTTATTAAAGTATTATACACATAGCCGGGCATGGTGGCACACACCTGTAATCCCAGCACTTGGGAGGCTAGGGCAGGAGAATCACTGCAAATTCGAGGCCAGTCTAGGCTACACAGAGAGCTCAAGGGTAGCCAGCACTGCAGAGCGAGACCCTGTCTCAAAAAAAAAAAAAAACAAAAAAAAACCAAAATTATAAACAAAAGATAGGAATTAACATTAAATGTTAAATAATGTGTATTTCAGAGGTGTGATGGTGGAAAAGCAGGTTGTGTCAGTAGGGAGAGAAACCTTCTCTACAATAAGCATTCCATTTCTTAGGCTAGGTCACAGTAAGTAAAGACTTACTGATACTTTACGGCTTTTTACATGTCGTAAATGTTACTATTGCATAGAACTCTTCACGAAGGTGAAAGCATATGGGTATTTGCTATCTGGCCATTCTCAACATTTGTTGACTTCCTGAACTATTAACCAAGTTAGAAAACCATTTTCCTCTGACTGACAGTGACAGAACCACTCAGACAGTACTGCCCTGTGATGGGAGTGAAGGACTTCACTTCAATCTTGATGTCACGCTTGGGAGAGTGTTGCTCTTGCCTGTCCATAGGTTCCTTCAGCAGGATCCCTATTTACCATTGTTAATGTCTGTGGCATTACAAATGCAAGATGAAACACTATAGCTGTATAAATTTCCCCTTTGAAGGGTAATGAGAGCAAGATAAAGGCTAATGTTAAATGAGTCCAGTGTTTTGAATTTTAAAAACAAAAGGGCCGGGGATTTAGCTCAGTGGTTCCACCAACTGCCTTGCAAGCTCAAGGAGCAGAGTTCGATCCCCAGTACCGAAAAGACAAAAAGAAAAATTCAGAGATTCGTGGTAGAACACAAGAGCTCTCAGTTCCTACCACCCTGCCCATTTCCCTTAATGTTATACCATCCTCGCTCCTTAAGACGGAGGAAACTGACGAGGCTTGCCATTCTCCTGGGACGGGAGCTTTCCCTGGGTTCTCTAAGACGCTGTGCAGGGGCACGTGCAACTTGAGGGGCCAGGATCCTCACTCACCTTGCCCACTTTACTAAATTGGAATTTGAGATTACTGTCTTCAGGAGTCCTCAAATTATCTGTCATTACCTGAGCAATTCCTTATTCTCTCCCATAGCTCTGTGATCATGAGTTTCAGTTCTAGGAGAGGTGCCTAATTGTTCTCATAAATCAATTTAAGGATTATTAGAAGGTGATCTAAAATGTTTATATTACTCTTCTTTCAGTTACTGTGCTTGAATAGTAAGTAGACTAAGGTAGAACACTGGCAGATGTGGCTCCCACTAGGAATATGTACTCGTGTAGCCTTTCTCTGGAAATGTGAAGTCCTTTTCATATGAAAATTAAAACATTTTTATATCATTCACGAATAAGAAAATTAAAACATTGTGTAGTGGCATATTTAGAAGCCAGAGCATGTTAGCAAAGCGGCCTTTTTTTGTACAAGCCTTTCCTGCATGAGCTATTGTCATTGTCACCTAAGTGCCTTTCAGGATACACAAGTTCAGTGTACCCAATTCATTTGGACCCCTAATTGTCTTGTATTTCTCTTTCCACCAGGCAGAAGATGGCAAAAGACAGCAGACACTGTAGCCCACATTGTTAGTGTTGACAGGGACATGAGAGATCACACATGATGGCCAGTATTTTAAGTGTTTTCAGTATAACTATTATTCCACCTTTAGGGAGACATTCAGTCTCTAGACCCATGTCATACACCCACCACTTTCTGTGGTCTCACGCTATATTGGATTCATATATGTAGGGAACTCCTCAGGCCCTCCTGATAAGCATTTGTTTTTGTGACTTCTCCATTTCAGATATAGGGACACCGAGGACATAAGAAGACGGTTACTCCCTTTGCATCCTGTGGCAGAGGAGGCAGGTCTGAAACTCAAAATTTGTCAAGGCCTCTGTAGATGGTAGTCAGTTCCACTGGTGAAGAGCAGCCCTTGAAGAAGGAGGGGAAAATACTTATTTCCATCTATTTCCCCTTTCCTCCTTCTACCCTCACTATCCCGAGAAGCATGGGTTAATAAATTGCTAATACTTTCCACAGGATAATTTCATGTTTCACCTGGCCCTATTTGTATTTTCAATGACCATAAGGCAAGCAGTGTAAAAGAACTGATTTGTGGTGCTGAAATTTCCAACTCTGGCACCTGTGATATTTCTGAACAACTGAATCTATGTTGCCCTTTAAAATCATACAGTGATGAAGTTGCTCATCCAAGTAGATATAAGGCTGCAAAAGACAGCCTGCTGTTGTCACCTGGTGCAAAGGGCTGACAAGCAGAAGGAGCAGGTGGTGACAGCAGCCGTACCTTTCACTGTGTAGTTCTGGGCCTGCTTCCTCTCATCCCTAATAGATAACCCAGAAATTACATCCTGAAACTTATTTCCCCAGGAAGAAAAGGAAGGGGAGGGATAACTTTAAAAGAAGATACTCTGATATGGTATTAGAGTGTAATTCATAGGGAAATTTATGCTTGAGATATGAATTTCTGAAAATAGAGTTATTTAAAGGAAAACACTGACACAGCCTTAATTATAGAGTAATAAATACCAATGGTATATTATCTTCTGATATTTCCTTATTCAGATATCAAAGCATGCAGCTGCTTTTGAAAACTGATAATCAAGTACAATATAAGTATATTACATCTTGTACTTACAACACACCCTCCAACTAAGCAGCATCACGGAGCACTTAACAGTGAGAAACAGAGCTGCTCATAGTAGAAACCTAACTAAACAAATTAGCTTTGAATTGTAACTTAAGAATCACAGTCAAAGCAAGATGTCTGTCCTTGCCAGGAAAGGCATTCCAAAGGCAGGGAGCACACCAAGTGAAAAGCCTTTCTTTCTGGATTATGGAGGCAGCTCTGAAAAGCCAGCATAACTTAACGATCAATCAGGAAAACACAGAGCTGTAACTGTACAACTGAAGGATACCTAAAAACTGTACAAAGCACTAATAGTGGAATGGGGAGGTAGAATGAATTTT